GATTGTTAGCCTCTACCAGGCTTCGGGAGGCGACTGGAAAGAGGCTAAACAGAGAGATAACATGCCGGGGGAGTTGGTTAGCTAGAGTGGGGCATAATGTACTCTATAACTGCCCAATTCCCAACCTGACCAAATTGACAAAATTCTATTCTTTTGAGCCGCCTCCGAAGCCTGGTAGAGGCTATATGAGAGGATTGTGACAGCAAATCATATCGCTCGCACAAAAAGTTAGCGTAACGATCGGATACTAATGATTATTATAAAGAATCTGCCAATATTGTAGTTTAGGTAAAGTAGAAGACGAGGTACATTTTATTGTGGATTGTTCCATGTATGACAGCGAAAGAAACGTTCTTTTCGATTTTGTGTCAAGCAAATACTCCCAATTTAAGTATTTGAATAGTATAGAGAAATTTATATTCCTTGTAGTCTTTAACAAACCAGCTCTAACTACTCATACAGCCAACTACATTTATAAGATTACCAGAAAGCGAGAGGAAGTTGAACGTACTTGTGTACTATAGCCGTTTTATTATCAACATTGATGATGTACTTTGTCTATATGTGACCTGTCTTTAGCCCAGTGGGGCAAAATGTACAATAAAGGTCTTCATTCATTCATTCATTATTAGCAAATACTTGATCTTAATGCAATGGTTTATAGATCAACAGAGGAAAGACTCAAGGTAAAATAGGAAGCGTTTGGCGCCCTATCAGACCATAGTCAGACAGTGTACCCGCCTCCCGACCGTACCCAGTACGGAAGGAGGCACCACAAGTGGTGATTACGGTGTTTGGGGCGGATTTACTGAGACTATAGACGCCACAGGACTGACACGATCCGAGCAACCTGCTGGCGTAAACAACTCATTCCAAGAATAGGGAAACATTTGTGACCATTGTTCGTGCCTTACGATGTTTCAGAGGAATAGAGGCTGGACAGTCTGTATGTACAGACACTCAAAGTAGCAATACAGCAAGAGATACAAGTACTTATGAATGAATAAAAGACCTTCATTGTACATTTATGTCTTCACAAGCTAAGTACAGGCCATAGTAATAAAGGTCTATGTACAATAACAGTGATACAAGTCTGCTATCTTCCTACATCTATAGTATACTTAAACTTCTATGTACAGGTTCAACTACTAGTCTCACTTCTTAAGACAGTTGTTAGTGTAAGAACAGTACAGCATGAGCTTCAGGTATACATCGTATAGACTTTGGCTGTGAAAATGGTAAGCATAAGGCTTCCAAACCTTTACCAAAATTTGTTCAACCTTTTTTAAACTAATACTTATATCTTTACTTTAAAATGTAGACCGATTGTTTCCACAGTCTCTTCCCCATTTTGACTACTCTCCAAGCAGAGGTTTGGGTTTTGGGTTACTTTTGGCGTGTTTTTAGACTATTTTTTATCGAGGTTCCTTTTTTTTGCATTGGATTTTTTTACCTGTTGGGTGTTTTTCACCAACTTTGTCACAAAAGCGAGCTGACAAACTTCCCCCTCTCCCGACAACTTTTATTCCTCTTTAATTAGACTGGAAGTTCTAATTAACTTCTCAGTGGCGAAAAGTAGAATTTTTACAGCCTGGCACGCGACACAGTTTACCTTCTGTAAAACTCGGAAGTGGCAGTTCCTTCTCCTCCCCAACTTGTTAACTACCTAAAGACTGTACAATTAGAACCTTATGTTGGAATATGCCTCTGTAGGTCTGAGTCGGAAATACGATAGCACCAAGTTACGTTGATTGGGTCAATTAAGGTCCTATACAGAGCGTACTTGGAAAGTGAACGGTTGCCAAAAAACCACAGGTGTTTTTATCGAGTTTATAAAGTCACTCCACGAACAGTGTTGATTGCTTGATGTTCAACTTGGCTCGTGCAAGAAAAATTTTGAGCTGTGTGGAATGAGAGAGAAACAGAAAAAGGGCAAAGAAACGAACAAAAAAGGACACACGGAAAGAGAGATATGCAATACGAGAAAAGAAAGTAAACGAAAGAAAAGAATTGTTGTGAACGAACGAGAAAGAAAAGAGAGAGACAGTGGATCTAAAGAGATACAATATAAGTTAGAGAGAGAGAGAGGGGAGAGACAGAGAGACAGAGAGAGAAACAGAGAGAGAGAGAGAGAGAGAGAGTGTGTGTGAGAGAAAGAGAGAGCGAGAGAGGGAGGGAGGGAGAGAGAGTGTGTGTGTGTGTGAGAGAGAGAGAGAGCGAGTGTGTGTGTGAGAGAGAGAAAGAGAGCGAGAGAGGGAGAGAGAGAGAGAGAGAGAGAGAGAGAGAGGGGGAGAGAGAAAAAATGAAATACAGGGAACGAAACTGTTAAGTTGCATATTACATGTACCACACAGTTCCCACATATCAGTCTATAGCACCACTGTTTTCTCTATGATACAAACCACAGATATTCGAGGGTTTAACACAGGATGAAGCAAAATTTCAACACGTTGTTTTGACACCTGGAAAAGCCGGATCATCCAGCACGTAACACCGTGCCTTTTCCTGGCAGTTTGACGGAAAAACCAAAGACTGTTCCGCGGTTTTCTTGTGAAACCATGGCTTCACGTTGACACAGAAATACCAGACTGCTGTGAGAGGGATTTACGCGATGACACATCGTCCTCAAATGAATCTGAAGATCTTTTAAACACTCAGGAGGATTATAGAATACTTTGTGATAATCTGTATTTAAGAGGATACAGAATGTCCACCATGTAAGTAAGAATAATGTTGAATGTTATCTTATCATACAAAGCGCTCTTCTTAAACAAAACCACAGAAGAGGACACAAAATCTCAAGCAAGCCACTTCAAAAAGTCGCACAGTCATCAGAAATAACATTGAGTTTTTCCATGTTAAGACAAAGATGCCTTATATCAAACTAAAAAAACTTGCACGGATGAAATATGAATCCATTATGTCCTATCAGTGTTGAAAATCCGAAGGAAAACTATGCACCGTTATATTCTTGATGTTTAAATAGTATCTCTAGAATTCAATAAAAGTGAAACACCTTACCCTTTGAATTTGGAAAGAAACAAGAAAATATTTGTAATTAGCTTCAACTATCTTAAAGTCTACAATTTTGGCTTGGAACTGGGATTTTCCCACTTTCAGCAGCCTTTGCGAAATCGTAAAGTCAACTTAATTTTCCCACCTTTAATACTTCTTTACATATTGCGAAAAGTTTGCATAAATGTCTGTTTTCGTGCTGTGACTGCAAGATCATCAAAAAAATGTCAGAAAATGTCTTTTCGGACTACTTGGATGGGAGAGGGACGTCCTTTGATAAAGTGTTCCCAACACCTATTCTTTCCTACTACGTGATCGAGCATATATCCGAATCATTTCCTGAAATTTTCTTATCTCAAAACATGAGGAAGTAAAAAGGACGCCGTTGTTCAAAACACAATGACACTGAACAGGCTACTGACTGGTACAAAAGTTCATTAACCTCACAGAACAGGGAAACAGATTTTATAAACATCCGAAGTTCATCAGAGAACAGTTAGTTAGCCAACGCCCACATTACACAATTACGGAATTCCGCATTCAGAAGTTATGAAATGTTGACTAACGTCATAAACTTGCGTTTTTACTTCTTCCTTCCTTCTGGAAGTATTTTAACGGTCTAAATATTAATGAGAAAAGAATTCAACGACACAACAACTTGTATCTTTTTGACACAACAAAAGATACAAGTGTCGAATGTCTGGTGCCCTTTTCATGTTGCTAAAACAAAGCTTTTAGACTGAATAGATGGCATACAGCCAGCGTACAACCAGGTACTACGTGAACCTTATCTACTATTGTAGGTGAACCTAATCTCCAAGCAGATCTTTTGGTGGGGGTAAGACAGTATCAAATTGGCCAGTCTGTAACCATTTCCCCACCTTTTGGTGGTGGTTACGACAAAAAAGGGCCATATATAAAAAGCAAACGATCTTCCACCATCAACCTCTGCTTGGAGAGTAGGTGAACCAGGGAAAAAAGTAAAAATCCGGCAACATGGTAAAAAAAAAACATTGTCCTATACCTTTCTTTCTCTTCAACATATTTGAATTCTGACATAGCGGCAGGTACCAGTCATACCCAGCCATATCCCTGACTACACCACGTTCTAAACAGTACTTAGAGTAGGGTCAGTAAACATAGACCGTGTTTACAACCTCAATATACATGATTTACACTATATACGGGAAAGTTCAGTTCAGTAGGGATCTACTATCCGACTTATAATCACTCGTTGGACGATTTTGGTTCTAGAATTTTAAGGCCTGGCTATGATACTGACTGGTATAACAAGGACAGACATATGCCAGCTGAATCTAGTAGGGCACATTCGCGACTGTTACAATACTATAGCCTCTACCAGGCTTCAGAAGCGGCTGGAAAGAGTCCAAAATGGCCAATCAGACAGATACCATGCCAGGTGTGTTTGTCCGCTAGAGGAATACAGTTTGTCCGTCACTCAAGTACTCAAATGTCGACACACGCCTGAGTTAAGACCCTTGCCGTGAAAACAGACGGAAAACATTTGTCAACACTAAAGCTGCACCACCGCCCACTCTTAGCACTTTCCGAGAAAAAAGTGCTCTTGAAACTTTTTACCAAAGGATCTGAGAGTATGCATGTACAGTTGATACTTAAATATGTATGTATAGTTGATACTTAAACAAGCTTGCCTTGGCGAAGTCCTGATTTGTAGTAATCGCCCCCTATAGTGGAGTAGGGGTAATAAAATACACTTAAAAATGAAAAAAAAAATTCTTGACTCTTTCACTGAAGCATAAGCTGCGAGTTTGTGTAGTTGATACTTAAACAGGTTTGCGTTAGCGAAGTCCTGATTTGTAGTAATCGCCCCTTACAGCGAAGTTGGTGTAATGATATATACTTAGCAATGAAAAAGTTTTCTTGACTCTTTCACCGGAGCATAAGCTGTGAGTAAAGTATGTACAATTGATACTTAAACAAGTTTGCTTTAGCAGAGTCCTGATTTGTAGTAATCGCCCCTTACAGCGCAGTTGGGGTAATGATATATACTTAGCAAATACTGAGGCTTTGTGTCGTATTTGTTCTGCACGATCACACTACAGGGCGTCGACTTTCACGTGGGGAGAGTCCTAAAATAGCCCGGCCAGACGCCACGGTCCTTCCGCAGTCCTAGCGAGAAAAATACCTCATCCAACAACTCAAGAAACAAACCTTCAGGCAAACAAAACAACCTTGTGTGAGTCGTTCGATGACCGGAAACGGAAGTGACGTACCTGGGTCAGGTGGCCGCGGGTTGGCGGCTTGTGCCCTCCCGACGTCACCCGGCCAGATAACCAAACAATGACGAGATGTCCTACGCAAACTTACCGGTCAATTATTCCAATAACAGACCTGTCTCCGGGAGTCCATATTAGGGGCGGGAGTTCCTGTTAATGACTCGCATTAAGATATAAAAGTCGCCCCTCTTGTAGAGCCGATCAGTTTATTTGCGGAGAGCCCAGAAGGTCGCGGAGGGTAGAGACGCAGCCACCGGCTTTACTTTGAGAAAAGTTAACTTTTCAGTAAGCAAATTAGCGCTAGGGTCCGAGAGGTGAACTTTAGACTTAACAGACAGAGCAGAACGCGTGGTAAACATCCAGGGAAGATGGCCAAGCTGGCGAGCTGGGCAGTTTTAGTTCTAGTCGCAGTTCTGACGAGAGATGGTGGCAACGCCGCTCCAGTAACAGAGCGAGTCACCAACTTCAGCCAAAAGGACGACCCACTGGTGAGTACGAACTGTTTCGAACGCCTAATCTCCAAGCAGACGTGGGGAGTGGAAAATCGCAACGCGTTCTGGTCGACAGTTTGCTTAGTGGACTGTCAGAAAAGCAGGCAGGTTTCGAAAACGTTGCGAGTTTTTCTCTCCCCCAATATCTGCTTGGAGATTGGGAGCACTGTGGCTCTTTTGGCGGTGAGGGAGTCATTTTGGAAGGTGCTACTGTGTTAAAAAGTGGTGAGGGACATTTTTGTGTGTTCTTGAAATCCCACATCGTTTCGCACAGTATTTCTGGGGTGCGAAAAGGCCTCTACACTTCTTACGACCTTCTTCAAGAGAAAGTGTGGGAAAAGATTCTTTCTTAAAGGTGAGGCTAAGCAGTGTCTAAGATAGAAGACTTGAGGCTTAGGCATAGAATGCGCTCATATTCACTCATAACAGAACCTGTCACAAGTAGCGCCTGAGTGTAACCTTAACCAGTCATTACGTTTATCCTGTAAGCATGTGGAATATGCGGACAAAACGCGACATCTGAATAACCTGAACATTCTGTAGGACGCACTTGTCAGGTACCCCTTTATTACGGACAGAAAGGACGCCCACGAGAGAGATTACCGCTTCCGAAAAGTGCGTCGAAAATGTGGCAACAAACAGAAGAAATTCGATTTCTTTCCTGCACCGGTTTACCGCATCCTTATGTGAAGTTCCTTACTTGTTTGTGGCTATCAGAGTAGGTTAGAGAAAACACAGAACAGTTGTAACTCAGTCCACATCAGGACAATAACGCAAACTGTGGGCCTTTCCGTACCCTGAGGCCAGGGACATCTAGATTACTAGACTCTCCAAGCACAGGTTTAGATGTGTTTTAGGCCTTTTTATTGGAATTTCTTTTTTGTACTGGTATAATTTTTTCGCCAGCAAAACTTCAGGTGGCGTATGGATACTTCTTTGCCAGTTATACTGTCTTACCAATTTGGTACCGTCTTGCAGCCGACGAAAGATCTGCTTGGAGATTAGACATCGATAAGGTTACTACAGGTCAGCAGTTATCTCTAAGCAGATACTGTATGTCGTTCTGTCCTGCTTTGTCGTGTTGTTTCCCCTGTGTTTCGTCGTTTTTCTAGTGGCTTACGTCGTTTTGGGTAGAGACAAGTGAACAGAGAAAGGAGCGCACCATATGAGAAAGAGGTAGAAAAGTAGTAAAGGGAATAGGGGCACAAAACAAGCCCGACCGATACAACTTCTGGGACATTAGACCAGTGGTCTCTAATCTTATCAAAAAGATTAGAAAAGAGCGAGCTTTCGTCATTAATTTGTGAAGACGACGTGATCAAAGATTTTTCTATCCTGCGGTAGACCCTTTCCCTTCTGTTATCCAGTCACTATAGTAGAATTATTTTTCTATAGAACGAAAGAAATTTGAGAGAAAGTTACGGTAGTTTCAGAGCGTGCAAGCCGCCACAGGGACGCAGCCTAGCCTCCACCAGGCCTTTTTACGGGAATACGGATCGTAGAATTCGGAAAAAAAAGAGAGTAAAATTGGCCAAGGGAGTCCGGCTGTGGGGAGGTAGTTTCCAGTCAAACTTACAAAGCGGCCAAACTCCCCCGGCAATTATTCTCCTATATATAGCCAGCGTAGTTTGTCTTGTAGAGACTAGATTCACCCAAAAATAGACTATGATTTTTCGCAAGTCATTCTGACTTTTTCATGTAACTCTTTGTCGTGTATCTATTCAGGGCTGGCTTGCTCACACCCTACAGTCGCCCTTTTTTTTATACTAAAGTAATCCCGGTTTGAATACAGTCACAAATCTACTCCAACAATCCTACATTCATCTAACTTTCTACGCGTCTTCGCTTCATTTAAACAGCAGAATTATCAATCAAAAGACTCCACGGCTATTCAAGCTATGAAGAATGCACATGTTTAACTCTGAATCAAAGTCTGCGTCTCGACCGGTAGTACGGATAGTAAGAGAAATGACAAAATGGCGAAGTTTACGTTCGAGCCACACGATAATTTGTTCTACAAATAACTTCAAAGTCGGCTAAATGTAGACGATAAACCTCCATCTTTAGGGAAAGGATCAGGACTAATTTGTTATCGGCTTGACCTGTAGACATGAGACTTTTTCATGAGGTAGTCTGTTTTTCCTTCAACTAAACATTGCCCTGCATTGACTACAAAGGCCGCTTCTATAGCTACTTTGCTTTGAGCTTACTTTTAACTTATCAGTCTGTCCATTAAAACTAGCTAGACCACACAGCAAGAAGAGTTAACAGTAGCTAACAGTTAACAGTAGACTTGTCATCCTTAGAGGTCTGATATATATAGAAGTCTTTACTTAGTAGTGACCCCAATATGTCTACTCGACTCGGAACCGAGAGGTCCCGGGTTCGAGTCCTGACATGCCACCGATCCTGTGCTCTTGGGAAAGGCACTTTACACGACTTTCCTCACTTCGCTCAGGTTAAAATGAGTATTGTATTGTCCCCTGTGTTGGTGGCGGCATTAATATAAGTTGAAAAAACTTGAGTGTGCCGTCACCACGTCTTGTGATTACATGTTGGAATATAAAAAAAAATGTCTGCAATGAAAACCACGCCATATCCAGCCTCTATACTACTAGTAATTAGGATAGATCTCACAAAAGTTGCTTGTAGAACTTAAAACAAAACTTGTGTCACCCCAACAGCATAAGGACTATCCTTCTAATCTTAAAGTTGGACTTCGATCCAGACGATTTAGTTAGTGTTAATGTGGATATCATCAACTATGCAACTAGTTATCTTCAAAAAACAAAACGGACGAAAGAGTATCTTTTCCTGTGTCCTTCCATTCTGTTTTAATAGATCACTGGAAGCAGTGATTTTAGTTGTGTCTTAATTTCCCAAAATAGTGTAGGAAACACGGACCCTTAAACGCATCATCGCATTAGCTAAACACTCCACCGTCTTCCTGAGACAATATACATGTTGGTTTGTTGATCTTTTGGCGCCAAAACCTGCAAACAAACCACCTGTCAGACGACAGGACTGACGCAGGTCGTCCCACACACGTTACCATGGCAACGCCGCCATGTTTTTTCAGACGAGAGATCTTAGAAAACAGCCTCATCGTCTGTAGATAAGACAGACACCTGTCAATCATTCTAGTAGACTACTTTTCAAGGTTTTAAACTGATACAAAAAAATCTCTGAGAACTAGTGACGTCACCGGAAGCCATTAGACGCATAATTACCCACAAGCCCCTGCCGTTGTATTTTACCCATTCCCTAGTTTCCGGTTAGGAAGCACGCAGCACTTTTGCCTAACCTCAAAATTCTTGAACGATTTTCCGGTTCTCTAAAAGATTGTATACAAACATTTAGTCATCAACTATGGGAAAGACGCTGTCAGTATTGTAGCGTAGAGGAGCATGAATAAAATGTTGCTGTTAATTCAATAGACTTTATTCATAAAAACGTCAAAAAACGCTTACGCACACTTCTTGTATTACGTACTATAGGTCAGTATGGAAACTTCCCATACTATTGTTTACTTAACTTCTACATTCACCCTTGAAAAAGCTTGTTCTTGTCATTTGCTGATCCTTACTAATAAGTCAAGTATGTGTTCATTGTTCCTAAGTACCTGTAGACAGCAAAACAGTCACACATACCTTACACGGTCCTTAGTATTACGTACTTTAGGTCGGTATGACAACCCTCCCACTATTGTTGACTAAAGACATACTTGTAACCGATAGGTCAAGTATGTCTCTATTGTTCCTAAGTGCTCGTACACACGCACGGGAAATGCCTACTTCGACCAGGACATAATAAGAAGCCTTTCTTCCTAAAACACTGTATATCTCTTCTATACACAAAGTGTTTACATGTGGTATTAAAGTAGCCGGAAACAAGGTTTTTCGTCAGTACCGGTAGTACAAGATACTAAAGGGGTGGGGTGGGGGGAAAGCTTACTTGAGTCACCTACTTCAGACCAACACCTTGAAGACGTTTAAGAACATATTGTGTTTCACTCATGGTAGATTCTTTTTCTTTTTTTTTTTATATTCCAACGTCTAATCACAAGACGTGGTGACGGCACACTCAAGTTTTTCTTCAACTTACATTAATGCCGCCACCAACGCAGGGGACAATACAATACTCATTTTCACCTGAGCGAAGTGAGGAAAGTCGTGTAAAGTGCCTTTCCCAAGGGCACAAGATCGGCGGCATGTCGGGACTCGAACCCGGGACCTCTTGATTCCGAGTCGAGCACTCTGCCTCTACGCCACAAGGCCCCACACAATGGTAGATTCGCGATCGCCCAAACCTATATTTGTCGTTATAGCTACAATCTGTTATTGTGCTTTTGCGCAAGATTTTACCCGTCAAAACCTGATGTTTTTTTTTACATAGCTAGGACTCTAAATCAAAGTAAATACAGAATCTTGTATATTTTATCATTAGGGAAATTCATCGGTTAGGCGATACAAAATAGTAAACATTCTAAGCATTCCTCACATCTCTGTGGCTTTGTGAGTTCCCACATTGTTCCCACTTCCGTGGGTATTTTTGGGACGATGTTTTGGTCCGTGTCATACCTGAGCGGTAAGTCACAGTCTCTCACCTGGTCAGTCTAGACGCCAGGTAACACAGGTAAACAAGCACAACCGGAAGTGTTTTTAAAACACGACCATGACACCTCGGGCTACGTACCCTATAGAACAGGTGATGACGTCAGGAAATGTTGTTCTTTTTTTTTTTCCAACATGTAATCACCAGACGTGGTGACGACACACTCACGTTTTTTCAACTTATATTAATGCCGCCACCAACACAGGGGGCAAATACATGACAGGACAATACTCATTTACACCTGAGCGAAGTGCCTTTCCCAAGGGCACAAGATCGGTGGCATGTCAGGACTCGAACCCGGGACTCTTAGTTCCGAGTCGCGCACTCTGCCGCTACGCCACATGACCCCAATGTTCTATTTTGTATGTATGAAGATGTAAACATGCGAGCATGTGAAGGAAGCGGTATTCCTTTAAGACATGACCAAGAACAGGAACCGGATCGTCTCAAGTAGACAATTGACCTACTTTAGAAATGACTCAATTCCGACCTGTGTCTTAAGAGGGAGTGGTTACGCCTGCTCGCCTATGGCTATGACCTGCTCTATCTGGGCCACATGTGGTTCATGATCATTTGGCATTCTCCGTAGACTTTAACTCTGATGTAGAAGCGAAAAAAACACAAGCAAATTCAGCTTGTTCTCTAATAGAAGGATTTACAAACTTAGCTGCACTTTAGGTACCTGGTCGTTTCTGTCTGTAAGCTTTATATACGTGTGGAATTCCAGGTGACTTACACTAACCAGACCCACTCTTTCACATTTTAACAACTTTGTTGAAAATGGCATTGCTGTCGTCTAAAGCCTTTGCTCGTTTTGCAATCGTTGTTACACCGTTGGTACCACTTCTTTCAACTCCAAGCACACCCCTGACTGAGTCAGTCAACACTACTCTATAAAACATTGACAGTTTTATGAGGAATGACATTCCTGTGAGCTGAACTCATAACTCCCGTCAGCACTTAGGCCGTGTTGATTTGATTATATGGATGACATCCTCTGGGAACCCCAAAACTGATGCGAGCATGCGAATAAAAAAAAGTTTGGTAAAAAAAAAGTTGTCTTCATTTATCTAGGTGGTCATGAAGGTTGAACAAATGACTAAACACACAGAGTAATATTTTTTTGGCATGGTGCATTTTTTTCTTCATTTTCATTCCTTCACATTTCCTTTTTGTCCTTTGGAATGGATTTTGGCATTCTGCGACATGAATATCATTTTTCAATATTTTTTAAAATTTACAGCATATATTTGCTAATTTCGTAGCTACTTTGTATGATTTTCAGTATGGTCGAAAACATTTTTGTTTGAAACACACATTCAATCATACGAAAATTCATGCGCGCGCGGATGTCATCCATATAATCAAATCAACATGGCCTCACCGAGGTTTATACCTTCGATAACTAGGTACAAGATTTATGTGCTGTCTAAATACCGGAAACACACAGGATTGTTGGATAAGCAGCACGAACAAAGGCTGGCCTTCAGAGTAGTGTCACTAGCGGTCAACTGTACATGTGTGTGTAAATAAAACTGTGTTTACTACATAGCAGGAATGGTTGCTCTAATGTACATGTTATGTTGACTAAATATTGGAAAAGCCATGTACGATAAGGCACATAGCTGTACTTCTTTTGCTCATGCTTGTTACGTTGAATGTGTTTTGGAATAACTATGTCTATAGCAGAACACATGTGTAATGAATAACACATATTCACATTCAGTAAATACTCTCCAATCAGAGGTTGGGGGAGAAAATTGTGACCTTTCTATTATACGCTGCATAGCGCCTTCGCTGTTGAATTTAGCTCATTCTCTGTTGAAATTAGTCCCGTCTCTGTTGAATTCAGTTCCTTCGTTGAGCACAATTATTGTCGTTTTTGTCCTTCGTAGAACAGAAAACGGGACAAATGATAGAAAAGGTCACAATCGTCCCCACCAAACCTTGGAGGTTATAAAAGCCATGGGTTATTATCATTAACGCCCTGTTGTGTTCTCGTCCCCAGAGTTACCTGGTGCAGTTTGGGTACGTGGAGAAGCCAGCTGACGGCAGACTGTCCAGTATACGACAGGGTAGTCTCACACAGGCAGTCAGGTGAGATTTACATACATGTATTCTATGTGGTAACACCAGTTTGAAGGCAACTGCAAGATAGCTTAGTGTTATGTCCATTGAAATTACAAGAATTTCTGGACGATCCTGTACAGTATAAAGATGTATCAGTCGTTAAGAGAGTAAAGAGAGAAGTTAGTATTTTTTTTTCTGTTAAAGAATAAGCCAACTAACCAACCAACCAACCAACCGACCGACCAACGAAGAAACGCTGTCGATGAAATATGAAGAAAAAAAAACTACTGAAACTACAGACATGTTTACCTGTGCAGGAATGCGCAATTAAAATAGACCCCAGACTGGGATGCATACATCTTTTTGTCTTGTCTGTCACACTTGTGCTTTTCCACAAGCAAAGATAGTCCCCTAGCCTTTTTGAGACCGTAGGGACAGTAAGTCTGTGTGTCCACTGCATCTAGGGCCCATCCCTCTCCGTCCAATGCTCTTTCCAATGCTCTTTACCTCCCCAACCGAAGTCAGGACCTGGGTGGAGTGAGGAAAGTCTAAGCATGAGGTAAGGAAAATTAACTTACTCGTAAGCTAACTAATCTTTCTTTCCTACAGAGACTTCCAGAGGTTTGCTCAGCTCCCTGAGACAGGCGTGTTGGACGACAGGACTGTCGACATGATGAGGAAGCCTCGCTGTGGTGTGCGTGACGTCACACCGGCAGAGCGCCTGCGCAGAGACACGGGCTTCCAGATCACAAGGAGCAAGAGATACGCTTTTGCAGGAGGTAAAAATAAAACAAAATCAGAATCTCTTGATTGAAAAGAAACCTACAGTGGGGGTCGCTGAAAGACAGACGTAGAATGTCCAGACTGTGCATGATGTACAAAATGACTAATAAACTGGTGAACGTACCAACCACTAAGTACCTAATACCAGCCCAGAAAAGACCGAGAAACAGTCATGCCTTCAAATATCAGAGTTATCAACCAAGAATTGAGGTGTTCAAAAACTCGCATTTCCCCAGAACTATTGTAGACTGGAACTTGTTGCCACCAAGCACAGTTGGGGCATCATCACTAGAAAGCTTTGAAAACAACTCATGCAATTAAATGTGCAAAGATTGAGTGTAACAAGTCGTTCGGTGTGATATAGCCAGCTGCCGCCGCGCCGCGTGCCTGCGAAGCTGGTGTGTTACGCCGAAGGGCGGTTATACCGGCTGTACAGATACAGATTTGCATTAAACATTAAAACTAGTAGTATAACTGATACTGTAAAGTGTAAACTCACATGTTAATTTAGCCATATAACGTTATTTGTATGTAGGTTAATTCATTTGTATCCACATGTTATAGTTGTTAGGCCTAACGAAAGCCGCTGTACTTTTGTTGTGTCAATAAAGATTGTATCTAGCAAATGGAGTACTAAACAATTTGATAAAACCGTAGGCTACCCTGTATTTTCGTACCTGATGAAGAAAGTTGGAAAATGTACACCTGTAACGCTATTAGAGATCTTTGTCTGATTATCAGAAAGAAAACTGAAGATACAGGGTAAATGTATTGGGATATGGCAAAACATTTTAAACCAAAAATACTTATTGTAACTTTTAGTACACGAACTTTCTTTTAAAATCGTCCACTTTTTTCTCAGACTACCGTTGGAATAAGAATGACCTGACCTACCGGATATGGAACTACACACCTGACCTTTCACCCTCCCAGGTCAGGGAGGCCATCAGACGGGGCTTCCAGGTGTGGAGTGACGTCACACCGCTCAGGTGAGAAAATTCCTAACCTTGACGCTTACGTTGTACGTATCGAGTCTGGAGAACAAGAGAAGAAATGTAGATCGTGATTATGAGATTAGGCGTCAAAATCTTGGAACGTAAAGAACCCAACACACTTATAGGAGCGATCTGGTGTGCGTAGCAACGCTGTAGCAAAGTTACATAGCGCTTTAAGCTACATGTACTTGAACAAGTATCTTGCTTCACCTCAGTTGAGGATAGCTGCTTTACCTTTTAAAGCTTTCTTCGCTTTCTAACATTAAAAGGCAACTTTCTCAATGTGAAACACTGTCATAATAATGGTTAAACTCGTCTACATGCTTTCCTTGCAAAATACCAAACGCTCGAGAACCAGAGAAGCAAACCTTACTGTTCGCAATTTAAGATTCATTGAGACTTTGAACCAATGAGAATATCTTTTAATGTAAAACAAGATCTACATATGCACTGTGGTCATATCTATTACCCATTTTTTAACGTTTGATAAATTTTTTAATCAGGTTTCGCGAAACGACTAGTTCTAATGCCGACATCAACATCCAGTTCTCCCGGTTTGACCACAGAGACGGGTACCCGTTCGACGGCAGAGGTAAAGAAAAACCCACATTTCACAACTTATATATGTTAGAGCTACGAAGTAAACAAAAAGTTGACGTTTTAAAGCATTGAGAAATGGCCCGCAAGTCTGGCCCTCATGCTAGGGAAGAAGTAGAAAGTTACAGAAAGCTAAAACCGGATCGAAGAGAATTATGTTTACCGAAGGAAATCATATTGTTTTTGCTCAGTTTCCTCTTCTGCAAACACATAAGGTCAATGACCAGGACCAGACTTCTGTCACCATGGTAACTGGTGGTGTTGGGTTACACCATGTAGCAGAACTGAGCCTGATCACCATACATGAATAGATGTATTTGGCTTTGAGTAATTTCTTTCACTGCACCGTACTACAGGCGGTACCCTGGCCCACGCGTTCTACCCCGAAGACGGCCGAACACACTTCGACGAGGACGAACAGTGGACAGACGGGACGTACCAGGGCACAAACCTCTTCATCGTCACTGCGCACGAGATCGGACACGCCCTGGGCCTGGCCCACTCCTCGTACCCAGGGGCCCTCATGGCGCCGTTCTACCAGGGCTACGACCCGAGCTTCAAGCTTCCCGTGGACGACACGCGCGGCATTCAGCAGCTGTATGGTAAGGCCCATTTTCGATACGTCGGCAAGGTTGCATTATCTTTAAAGCCCATCTCTAGCTGTTGATGGAAGTCATTATCAGGGCGGTTGTACTGGCTATACAGATGCAGATGCAGATGAAGCATGTTTAAACTGTAATTTCCAACACAAAAAGTTGAGCTTACACAAATTTTCTCATTCCTTGACAACCTGAGACTGGAGTTGTACAGTGTGATGTCTTGTGTTGGAAATCACAGTTAAAACTTGCTTCATAACGTGGGGTTATGTTCTTACCATGCTTGGGAATGGCATATGCTTTTGATTTTCTGTTCGCAAGTTGACCAGACACTTCAAGGTGTGACTTGATATGGCTAGTTATCACATGGGCCGGAACACCCGTATTAAACGTTATCGCGGCGCAGGTATAACATTATATATCCTTATCACACCAGGAATGCCGGACGTATCGAGGCCGCAGCCACCGGTCAGGCCCGACCCCCCGAGGCCCGAACCGCCTGTAAGGCCCGACCCCCCACGGCCCGAGCCCCCGGTACGGCCCGAGCCGCCCAGGCCCGGCCCCCCGAAGCCCAGACCCGAAGTGCCGGACACCTGTTCATCGGACTTCGGAGCCATCTCGATGGGTAAGCGCCGCCTGTTGATTAAGATATAATCTGCACTTCAAAGCCTTAGTCATCTAGTATCAATTTTGCGAGTCTTGCGACAATGTTTAAAGGGATTATGCAAGCCTTAAGAATAATGAAAAAATAGCCGGAATATAGCCTGTCAAAAGTTAACACTAGCAACTGATATTGTGTACATTAGCGTCCGTTTTTGATTCGCTGGTTCTGAAACAATCCTCACTTTCTGCATTAAAAAAAATTGTGACACATTTCCCTACCAGAGGTATCATAACAAATTGTAGTACCATATCAAGGGGGTCTTATAACAAGTGTTGCTTGTTCCCTTGTTTGTGTCTTTTCTATCTCAAAGTCTTTTGTCTTCGTAATTCCACGCATGAATATGCGTTTAGGGCACTTCTATAGTTCATGGAAACTAACCGTTTGCACATACATGTACACACCCTCCCCAGGTCCAGACGGTTTGACCTACGCCTTCAAAGACAAGTACATGTGGCGGATCAACGACTACGGCGTGGAGCGAGGCTACCCCAAGCCTACCCGGGACCAGTGGCCCAAGCTGCCGCGCGGCATCCAGGCCGCCGCCTACTCCCGCTGGAGCAGCAGGATGTACTTCTTCAAGGGTGAGAGCTCGCAACTTTGATTGACAGCTCAGTCAGACGAGATTATTTTTCTATCCCACCACACCTTTCGAAAAAGAGTAGGGGCATGCCCCGGTGTGCGATGGTACAAACACTACTGTATGGAGTTGGTGATTCACTTCAAATCACCCGGACGGAGGCCTGGCGACCTCCGTCTTGTATAGCCACATGGTGAACTACATCATTCACCCGGACGGAGGCCTGGCGAACCCCGTCTGTATCAGCCAAATCTTGGAGAGGAGATAGGCGCCGCCAAGATTATAAGCCTGAGGAGTCATCGTGACAAGTTCAGACATGCTGCTGGCTGTCATGATGCCCCTACGGCCGTGAAGGCTATGGGACTTACATACATACATACAATCTCCAAGCAGATGTTGGGCTTGTTTTATGAGACCTTTGTGGCATTTTCTTTGCCCAAGAGTCTTTGCCACATTTCCTATCTAAAATCTGAACCAAAGCTGACGTCACACTTTCTTTGCAGGCGACCGTTACTGGCGTTACTATGGTTACCAGCTGGAGTACGGCTACCCGAAGCACATCGCGGGAACCGGTCTTCCCAAGAACCCCAATGCAGCCTTCGTCTGGGGGGCCAACGGCAAGATCTACATCTTCAAGGTGAGGCCATGGCACTTGAAGATCCATTTTAGTTAGGACTAGTACTTAGGACTTTTCGTAATTCTACGCAAAAAAGAAGGGGACGGCAAAGCGTTTTTCATCATACAACTTTACGTTATTAACTTATTTTAACAGCGCCACATACAAAGAACAAACATATTTTGTTAAGAAAAATAACAACAATGATGACATATTCTATATCCCCTGTAGAGTAACCGTTACTACCGGTTTAACGAGTACACGGGCCGGGTGGACCCCGGCTACCCGAAGCGGATCCGCCAGGCGTGGGGAGGGGTGCCGGACAGGATAGACGCCGCGCTGCAGTGGCGCAACGGCAAGACCTACTTCTTCAAGGGAGACAGCTACTGGAGATACGACGATAACGCTAGGAAGGTGAGACCTGAAGTTTATTATGTTTCTGCTCTGTTTCTTCTGTCTTCTTCCCCAAATACAAAAGGCCATGAACCTGGAGCAGACGTCTGTCACCATGGTAACTGGACCTGGACCAGATGTCTGGTACCACGGTAACTGGACGTAGACCAGGCGTCTGTCACCATGGTAAATGGACCTGGACCAGACGTCTGGTACCATGGTAACTGGGCGTAGACTAGACGTCTGGCACCATGGTAACTGGACCTGACCAGACGTCTGTCACCATGGTAACTGGTGCTGTAGCAGCCACCCTGTGGTGTTGCGTTACATTATGTAGCAAGTTGGAGGACAGAGTTAAATGGGCTGGTCACCATAGATATGAATATGTTTGAGAAATAATAAACAAAGAAGGAGCTTTTTTAAGGCTAGATCAGGAGAGAGTAAACATCATGCATTTCCTTTACATTTCTAGTTTTTTCACATCTTAACTCTTTGTTTCCGCCTATTGTAGGTCGAGTCAGGCTACCCCAGGTCCAAGGCCCTCGCCTGGATGGGCTGCGGCAACCGCGCCATCCCGGACAAACTCACCGTCCCATCAGCCACCGCGCAGCGTGTCCCGGCAGGCACCGCGCCACGCCCACGTCACCGCATGCGCAAGAACAGAGGCCAGCGTATGGCACCCTAAATGTACATGATTTTAGACTTCTTTCATGACAGGGATCAATTCGTTCAATATTTGTATAGAACTTATAATTCTAATTCTTAAAGTACCAGTGTTGTGCTATGATATTAAATAGACGACGATTTTCAGTTTAATAGGCAGAAAATAGCTCCCAATTGCGCTGTGCGCTGTACTGAAATGGGTGATATATATATACACATATATACATAATCTAAAGATTGTCAAATCTGTAATCTAGTAGTTATTTATTACATTATTACTAACAAGTAAGGTCGAACGATACTTATGATTAGTTGATATTTATGTATTTATATCTGAATAACATTTTCAAGTTTTTTTTTTCAAAAGAAGAATCGCAACATTTTTTTACGAAGTTGTCACAGGGCTCAGCACACTATACCACTACCTCAGGGCTCCTGTTTGAAAAAGTTGCAAAGGGCTGTCGAAAAAGGAAAGCTACATAATAGCATAAAATGTTATTCAGGACTTTGAATTCGCAGTGGGTTTGCGTAGAGATTGCTACAAAAAGGGAAATATTTTTTTCAACCCTTTGCAGCTTTGTTTGATGTAAGAGCCTCTACAAACATTGTTGCGCAAAAATGGAATGAAACATCTCTGTTCGTTACATATTTGTTTCGGACCAAGCTTTAGGCCAAAGCAAGTAAATTTTATGGATGACATCCTCCGCAGACTCCAGACCTAATGCGAGCGGGCGAAAAAAAAACAAGGCGGGCCGAAAAAAACAAGGTTCCTACATTTTGAAATTTTGACTCCATCATTGTACAAATGGTTTTGATTCAGTAGGAACATCACATATACACAGCCAGCATCACATATCACTGCATCAAAGTAAGAAACAAAACATTAAATCAGAGCCTTTTTGTCTCCTCTCTTCATAGTTATCTGCTTTCCGGCATGGCAACAGACATCTTTGCCCATTTTCGGCATGGTGACCACTGTCAGAAGGCAACAGACTATCTTGTTTTTTTTCTAAAATCAGGCGAAAATTAATGCGCGCGCCGATGTCATCCATAAAAATTACTTACTGTGGCCTTACTCGGGACTACATGGGACTAACTGTCGAATCTACCATCTCTTGCCATCTACACAATGACATTCGTTTGTATAGCATTTAAATGTGAACTCAATAGTATGTATATAGTGTTGATTTTATACTACTGCAGGGTACTTACTGGTGGACTGTAGGGACCGTGATTTATTTTTTATACAGTTCTTTGTTCTAAACTTTGTAAGTTTTGGAAAAGAAATAAAGTGGTACAACGTTAACTTTTCTGCTTATTAGTATTCTTTGGTGAAATATTTTGATTACAAGTTTCACATAGGGAGACAAAAGAAAACGCTTGATGGTAGAGTTATGCCGCACCAGGGGTAGTGGGTATAATTATACTAACATCATTATAATAATTATAATTATAATGATAATAACATCAAGTTAATTGCAAGTTCTTGTCCGAAGACTGATTGCAACTTACACAATAAAAAACAATGACAGCGTGATGTACATTGTAAAATGGAATTTCAAGCAGTATAATATGGTATTTTCATGCCTATGGTATCTAGAAATATTTGAAAAAATTTACATAACAAAAATTGCCATGAAAAAGACACGTTAAACGTCATGTCGTAAAGCAGCATATTTTCGCTGCGTCTTTCGACTTTTTTTCAGTTTCCAAAGACTGTCGTCCTGGTTTTGACTTGTTTTTGCCCCGAAACGACATGATTGTACCTACAGGTGACATGTCAGATGGTTTGCAGACGTTGTGATAGCGTATTTAAGGATGATATCCCGTCTATAGTTTACAAATGTTGTATTGAAAAAGCCATCGTCTGTAAAGGGCAAAATTCTGATGCAATGTCGACCAAACATCCAACGAAAACCGTGAAAAAAATTAAAATCCGCGTTTCGCACAGGCGCAGGGCGTTCTACAAAAGTGCACCAGACGGTTATCTATCTATACAATGATGAATCACCTACTCCAAATACTAATGCACTAATAGCGAGCAACGTTTAATCTACCAAAGGTTCAGATTTCTCCAGACCGGGGGCAGACGTCATTAGACCGTCTCCATGGAGACCGCCATGGCAACCGTGACGTCATGACCGAAAGATGTCGTCTGAAAGGCTTTACAAGATTTTGTTGGACGACATTCATGTTCCCTTTGATCTTGACCTTTCCGTTGAAAATGACTGACCGAATGAATGAATAAAAAACGAAAGAAATATCTTGTTTGCGAGATGGGCAAAGATAGGCACTACCCAATAGATATACTGCATGAATGTGCATAGAGCTATCATTTTAAAAATCCGTCAATTTCACAATATAATAATGTACATCTAAATTGTGCATACCCGGGAGTACTTCAGTGGATAGAGGATACTTACTGTCTTGCCACCGTAGGATCTGCTTGGAGAAAACGCTCTGTCAGTTCATTTTAGTGACGCTGAAAAAGAATAGCGGATGTCACTTGAAACATCAAGAAGTAATCTCTGTAATTTATCACGTAGTAGAGTTTTATTTGCTTTTTTTTTACATTTCTCATTCCAACATTTATCACCAGACAGATATTTTATGCCGCCACCAACGCAGAGGACAAACACAGGAACGTACGATAGACATGCCCATTTTCACCTAAGTCAAGTGAGGAACGCCGCGTAAAGTGCCTTTCCCAAGGGCTCAAGATCGGTGGCAAGGCAGGATTCGAACTCGGGACCTCTTGGTTTCGAGCCGAACGCTCTGTTGTTACGCCACACGATCCCACATTTGTCTTCTAATGAAAGACCTGTCCTTTTTAATCATATCAAAGAGAAGTTCCCATACTTTGAACACCTAAGTGCAAATGATAAATTTATATTTTTGATGCGTCTAGACAAACCATGTATCACAAACATGATCTGTTCCCACATTTTCCATTGTCCAAAAAAAAGCGAGAAGTTGACCACTCTGTATTAGCTCAGTAACTAGAACACTTTGTATTAGCCTAGTATAGTACCCTTGTATGTTCCTTATGTATGTATGTCTAAGTCAAGTAGTGTATCTTTTGTCTCCAATTTTCTACATACGTCTGTAATGTGTCCGTTAAGTCTTGACCTGTACCTAGCCCGTCGTGGCATGAATGTACAATAAACCAAAACACTCCATTTGAAAACGTTATCCATAAAATTGTGTTACCCTGGCCTACTGAGATGAAACTGAATCAGCCCACCAACAGGTACTGACGCATACAGGCCTGCTGTCTGACTCCATTTGTCATTCTGATAGCGTGGAGCTAATGTTGATCTAATATCTGCATTGTAAATTATTATGTCACCAGCCTCCGTATCTATACATAGCCATGTATGTGTGTGACGGAAGACCTCCAAGCAGATGTTGGGAGGCAAAATTGTGTATTTTTTGGCTGTCCCGTTTTTTTGAATGGAAGGCTTTGAAGATTATTTGAATAGAAAAAAAATGATTCAGGAATTTCTTAACTGATGCATGCAAGATTGGTTGCCCCCGGCAATAACCCTTTGCAATTTCAAACTGTAAATTTAAAGCACAATGTATGTTAATAGTGTAATATGCTTAAAAAGAGACACGAAATACACAATTTTACACAAATCAAAATAAATTTGTCAACATAATTTGACTTGAGAAGCAGTCAACGAAAGAACACACACATCGTGCATTCTCAATAGAACTGGCTACGTTTGAGTTAACGTTGTTTCTTAAGAAGGGACAGTACATTTTATAGATTATCACCCACCCCCCTTCTTGTGGTCTCTCCCAGCACACGTCTGATGACGTCATGTGCAGACGACATTTAGATGAGCCACACGAGGCGGCGGCGGGATCTAGTCATCAATTTTTCAGCGGGAAATGTAGGGAAGTACGCTCGATACGCCCCGGTACACATATGTGTCCTTGGGACGGGACAGAGGGCACAGAACCGAGGGACGTGCACGGCGTTCCACACTGCAGCAAGGTGAGTCCCTATCACTTCCCAATCCAACCTACGTTCTAACGTTGCTAGGGAGGACGTGCTAGGGAACACCCTTACCTACCGCGAGGCTATTCACCCCGTGACCTACGACCTTCGGGTAGGCTCTAAAGACGATTTCAAACCTGACCGTGTGCATGAGTAGAATTTTCAAACGACATTACAGGTGTAACGGTCCATACACTCTTCGCGCGTACGTTGCCTGACTTAATACATTCACTATCCTTCTGGTACGCCGGAGGTTTACTAATGCTTCGCTGTAAGATCCTGTAACAATTACTATTTGTTCATGTAGACGTCTTGAACTAAATGATGAGAGATAAAATTCGGCGGACGGAGGAATCATACTAGTAATGTCTTTTCTAGCGATCTGTCTGTCTGCTATACAGCATAAAGGTCACGGGTTGAAGGAGACAATACATTACCTATCCACTATTGTCAGAACTATAGCAGCATATTGTCTCATAACCAAGATTTACTAGTACAATTGAAATTCCCTCTTTGATGATATCCTTCAAGGTTTAAGAAATTGTGGTCACATTGAACTTGCGCAGAGATTTAAAATGGACTTAATATACAAGCTTCTGTATGTCTAGCGTTATACATTATAAGCAGACATCTATATAGCTAGAAACAATTCTATAGAAGGAAATATGCCATTATAATGTATACGAAACTACACTGTAATGATAGTACCTGAATGCAAGCCTTCAACGTGGTGATTTGTGAATTTGGGAAACGTTGCACCAAATTCAAGGAGTTGGTACCATACAACAATGAACATGGTAATTGTAAAGTGGTTTTTGATCATGTAAGATCTCAAACTTAGAGAGGAAAAAAATCACAGCATTCCAGCACATTGGTGGCATTAGCATGCCCGCCGAGTATCCGTGATCCTACTTAAGAGCCGGCTATAATCACGTTGGAAATGATTGACGATTGATTCCGAGCCGAAATCACGAGGTCGGCAGCGGCCCGCCATTAATACGAACGTCCTTCAGCACCAAGGACAGATCCACCTCGCACCCTATAGCTGCCCCACCCCCCGGCGTAATGGTACGGTCCACGTTACCCTGCTTCCTTATATGGTATGGGGATTGTACGCGCGCTTTCGGAGAGTGGCACATAGCCTTTTAGGGTAGCATCTATCAGGCTTCACAGGTAGAGTACAGTTTGCCGCTCTAAAACTGTACGCCTTTGGCTGACTATTAGCTGAAGTCCCCTGGTATGTTTTCTGTCTCTTTGTGTCCAATTTCTAGTCTTTCCTGCTGCCTCTGAAGCCTGGTAAAGACAACCTGGTAGAGGCATACATTCTTCCGCAAATATAATGCACATTAAGAGACATTTAAATGATAGGCTAGACGCTGAGTACGAATGGTTTCACCCTACATAAAAAGTGGAAAACCACACCACACATAACACCGACTGCTGTCGCCATCTAGCGGTGATTCTACGAAGCGCATCCAATGACCCACTGCCCTTAAAATTGTACGGGCTGGTTCTGTCACTGGAATCTTGAGAATTCTACATCAGATTCATACAACGATCTAGCCTCTACCAGGCTTCGTAAGCGGCTGGATAGATTATAAATTGGCCAAATAGACAGATAACATGCCAGGGGAGTTGGTCTGCTAAAGGAGTATAGCTTGCTAGCCTCTACCAGGCACCGCGGATTGCTGAAAAGAATAGTAAAAATTGGCCGAAATAAAATAGTTTTCCAGCGATCCCTGGTGCCTGGTAGAGGCTACAGTTTGCCACTCTGAGACGACCAACTTCTACTCTTTTCAGCCGCATAAAAGGCCTGGTATAGGCTAACTAACTAACTTGGACGTAATTGACCACCCCTAACCAAACATTTTTTCACTTTGGTGATTTCAAATAGAATATTTCATCGCATCCAAGGTGTTCTACTGAATGTTATATGAGCCTGTTCACCGCCATCGCGTGCTCGGGCGCGGAGGGATATTTCCGCCTGATTACACTCCATTATCACAGTGACAAGGACGGCGGCACCATTTCCTGTGTATTCAATATTTATCAATTTAGAACATAAATCATAACAGACATGCCAGACACCCCATTATCTCATTCGCTTCATGAATGTCATCTTCAATTACAAAATTGTCCACCTAAGTATGAATATTAAATGAGTTTCAGACAGCGTTAGTCTACGAAAATAATTTCAGCATGTTGGTAGAACTTATTGGATATTGGAGTTTTCGTTCTTTCTTACACAAGTAATGTAACTTTCCTGCTTACGTTTCTATGCATGCCAGATAGCTTTCCGCAGAGCTTTTGACTGGAGTGTTACACTGGCTACATCTAGCGGCGAGAAGCAGTACTCCAGTCAGAAGCTTTGAAGTAGGTGTCTGATAGATATAGAAACGTAAGCAGGTAAGAGATATTACTTGAATGCGATGTCTCATATATATCGAAACATAAGCTGGTGAGAGACATTACTGGTTGTGTAAATGAAAACTACATTATCCTGTGCCTACTCTTTTTGATATGATTCAATAACCAAAGAATGCCATTGCTAAGGCCTATACATGATTTTAGATATAGATTACTTTCGTTCATCCATCAAATGTCGTCAGTAATGAGGCTGTAAAGAGATATTACTGGTCGTGTGAGTCCAATATATTAGCTTTAGCTCGCTTCGTTATATTCCCTATATCTCATGTCGGTCGCGATCACTTTCAGAGACACAGACAGACACACACAGACACACACACAGAGACACACACATACAGACAGACAGACACACACACACACACACACACACACACACACACACACACACACACACACACACACACACACACACACACACACACACACACACACACACACACACACACACACAGACACACCACAGACACACACACACACACACACACACACACACACACACACACACACACACAGACACACACATACAGACAGACACACACAGACACAAACACACAGACCGACAGACACACACACACACAGACACACACAGACACACACACACACACACACACACACACACACAGACACACACAGACACACACACACATAGACACTCACACACGGCATCTCAGGCAGACAGATGCACTGCCATGAGGCCTAGAGACAGACAGGCACATAGACACATTACCCCAAATAACCTTCTTGGCGAAGGTAAGAGCCAAAACAAGTCGTAAGCCTGTAAGCCTGTCCACATGACCGGTCTAGCGACATTGAAGTCCTGCCAACTCCCCCCTAGCCTGGTATCCAGTCTGATCGTGGTCGGGGCCACAATTACAAGAGCTCCGTCCCGCCCGCCTCACATAGGTTTCCCGGTGTGTATTTCACGAGAGATTGATTAGCCCAAACCAAATTCCCAAGCACACTGTCTCTTATTAGCGTAACACTCCTACCGGGACGGCCTGTTGCACTGGGCGGGGGAAGCAATTAGAGCCCCCAAAGGCGGGGCAGAGCTCTTGTGGTCCCGACCACGATCAGACTGGATACCAGGCTAACTCCCCTCGTCTCAGCCCACTCTTGGCAGCCTCACATGTCACACCAATTACAACCCCAGCCACGCAGGTCAAGACTTTTCTCTTGGCGGCGTCTCGCAGTGTTACAAGAGAACTCAAGAAGTCGGGAATGGATCCTCAGGAATTTTGTGGAGAGGGGAGCAGATTTTGGGGACCAATCTTGGAGTAGATGTAGAGGAGTCTTACACAGGATACTATTTAATGGCAATTAAAATTGACTTTTTTTTTGTCCCGGGTATTAAAGGATAAGTTATATCAGTTACTTAGAGAAATACTATCATTATATTTGCATATAGAGCTTACTGGTTAGACCCCCCTTGACTTGCCGAACCAAATCTTTCTGTAGTCGTCTTTTTAGGTACTTTCCCAGTACTAAGAACAATTTTGAGACTACAAAGATAACATTTGCAAAGCAAATGCATATTTATAATCGCATATGGTCTTCTCTTAGACTGTTACTTCTCACTCAAACACATTCATGTATATGACAGCAGTCTAAATCCCCCTGCTATAAAATTGCAACATGATGTAACCCGACACCAGTTACCATGGTCACAGCCGTCTAGTTCAGGTCATTGACCTTTGGTGTTTGGAGAATAGGAAACAGAGCAAAAACAATATGTTTTCCTTCGGTTAACATAAGTAGTACTAATCTTAGCAAAAAAGGCCAGTCTGTACGTCTGCTAAAGTGGCTATTATGCTGCGTGACTCAGAATAGATAATTCCTGGCTTATGGAAAGCTAGGCTAACACAGACTTTTTTACCCGCCCTTTGAAACTGGTAGAGGGATAACAATTTTCTCATAGAAATAGTAACACCCACGTCATACCCATTTAAAAACTCGCTGGGTTTCGTTACCATTTTTTCAGTCTACATTTGAGGCTTTATATAAACGTTCGTGACTTTTTGAGGCTTGATCCGTGAATGCAGCGCACACCACAGTTCCTTCCCAGGTAACGGTAATGTAGTGTGAACTGTTCGCGTTTTTGTTTCCATTGTTCCTTCTTGATTTTCCTTCGTCATTGCGGTTCAAGGCCGCTGCCAAGGCATTGATATCACAACCACGATATTATGGATGATTTTTGGAAAGGGAACAGAGAGGGAAAAGTCATTTCCGTACATGGGTAAGGCACAGGAGTGGCCCTATTTTTTTCAGGACTGAAATGAAATCGGAAAAAATCTTTTTCTAAGCCTGACTAGCCTATACCAGGCTTATGAAGCGACTGGAAAGAGTAGAAACTGGCCAAATAGACAGAGAGCTAGCAGACCAACCCCCTACATGTTATCGGTCTATTTGACAATTTTCTACTCTTTCCAGCCGCTTCTGATGCCTGGTAGAGGCTAGGTCTTACGCTTGGTCTCGAGCTTTGCGCTTCAAATCTGACCTGCCTTGACGGAATTTTTTCACCCCCCCTCCCTATGAAGCAAACATTGGACCGTCCCTGCCCAAACCGTTTGTGTGGGGACAAATACTACACGGAGGGTGGGAAGGCAGTTACCAGCCCGGTGACGCGTTTGTCTAACCCCTGACCTCGGCTCATCGCCTGAAGGGGCGTGGAGCGCAATCGTATGATTACCGTAGAACTTTTCATTTTTTGCACTTCACAAAATCATATCCACTGTAATACTGAAACAGCGTTTAGTTATGACATACAGTGTAATCAAAGATGATGACATAAACAGTACATTTTAAGTTAAGAGACTGTATGTGCGTTAAGGTGACTATCTATTGCCAAGTTTATTATAACGACGTATTATTTGAAGTTTTACGGTAAGCTGATCGTCAAGTTTTCTTTATCCTCTCTTACAGTAGTTGCCGGGCCGGCGTGTTGGCTGGCAGAACACTTTGAGTTCTATACAGCACCAGAAGTGTGGGCGTGAGCTATACTACTGGTGACTAGACGGTTTGTCCCACACCCAAGCTTCACATGACAACCACGTCAGGGAAACTGGGACTATCTTTTCCTGATTCTGAACCTCCTAGAGCGGTTTGTGACTTACTGATCGGACAACTTCTGGCCTTGACTCGCCTCTGAGGTGAACTGAAAGGGAGAGTGATCACCTAGGTGAAAGTAAACGTCGCGTGTGCGCTACCGGTGGTGTAACGATCTTGGAGTGACAGAGGTTAACGACAAGATACAGCATCGGAAATCCCCACAGGTAACTGTGAACCTGCTACTAAGGTTTTCAAGGACCTCCAATCACTGGCGAGGGCAAATACCACAGAAAGGTGGGACTAGGCGTAGTCGGTAGCCGCCAGAATAGTGGTGCAACAACATTATTAGAGATACCAGGTCTAGCAACGGCAGCTACTAGTTATCTGTGACACCAACGAAACAGTGTGCTACAAATTACAATGGAGAGCGCCCAGGCACCTCCCTATGTCGGCTTGTACCCGTACCTACAACGGTTCGAACGGGACTTCGACTACCAGAGCGCGATGGCATGGATGAACGCAAACTGGACACAGTGTGTACACTGGTCTGTGTTCTACGTTCTGATGATTTTGCTCGGACAACGGTGGATGCAAAACAGGACAAAATACGCGCTGAGAGGCCCGCTGATCTGCTGGAACCTCCTATTAGGACTGTTCAGCGTCTTGGGGACAGTTCGGTTCGTCCCGCCGCTTGTGGCCGACGTCAGGGAACACGGGTTCGAGTGGACGCTCTGCAGCGCCGCCTGGTACAGGGACCCGGTACTGCACCTGTGGGGGAGCGCGTTCGCCTTCAGCAAAGTCTTGGAGTTCGGCGACACCGCCTTCATCATCTTAAGGAAGCAGAAACTGATCTTTCTTCACTGGTACCATCACGTCACCGTCTTGTTCTACGTCTGGCTGTCTTACAAGGAGCAACTGGCGGGAGGAAGGTGGTTCATAGCGCTCAACTATGGAGTGCATGCGGTAAGTTTAAGTATTATGGCTCAACTATGGAGTACATGCGGTATGTTCAGCTATTAAAGTTAGCAATTCATCCATTCTCCTGACCCATATAGCACACACCAATCAATCCTTTCAATCCATGGTTAATCATTTTGTTCATCAAGTAAATTTATTAGAACCCAAACCCCCATGCACACCCTTTGGGGCACAGAAAGGATAGCCTGTAAAGTATCTCTAGCCCTGCCCACCTTTTCCATAAACCCAAAAGCCTGCCAGGCTAGCCTGCAGGCTAGGCAGCCTTTTCCACAAACCCTACTTATTCGTTTTAGTCATTTGAACTGATATAATTTGTTCACTCACTCACTCACTCACTCACTCATTGAATTTGTTCCTTTACCTATTCATCGCTCCATCCCTCCATCAATCCATTCTGTACACTAAGATTTGAGCAGTAGTATGCCCCAGTCTTCTGTAGACTAACTGATTATGTATTATCAACTCAACCCATTTTCACACACTGGAGTACTCACCCAGTCATTCACTCTTGTCGCTCAATTACTCAACAAACTGAGCAAAGGGACAAGCATAAACCAACAAGCATGGTACCAGGGGGTACTTACACACTCCTCTGAACTGAGAACTATTCTGGTGTGTTTCTTGCAGGCTCTTCAAATTAGTTCTCATGGTCCATTCCTTCAAACATGAGGGGCGGGTGGGAAAATAAGGGTTCTTCAATTCAGGATAAACCAGCACATGGGCTTTCAGTCTGATCTCCAAGCAGATACGTGTGTGGATTTGGCTTGTTTGTAGTTTTGTTAGTCTGGTTTCAATGCCTATTTTTTCTCTGTGGTTGCCCTATCCCTTACCTGTTGTCCAATCCACCAATTAGAAATAGTATTCCCAAATACTTCTGTGGCACTAGTGGTAGGGACTCTGTAGAACTATTTGTTGATAGATGCCAGATTAACTTTAAAAAAGAAAAAAACTTTTAACAAGCCAAGAAAAAAATGTCTACATGTACTTGAAGCTTTTATGGTATATTTTCTTCTGTATTAGTAGTAATTTTCTGTCTTTTAACTCTAAAACCTTTGCTAAACAAAATGCTACCCCAACGGCTAACTAAGCTATGGGAGTGAGTGAGTGAGTGAGTGAGTGAGTGAGTGAGTGAGTGAGTGAGTGAGTGAGTGAGTGAGTGAGTGAATGAATGAGTGAGTGAATGAGTGAGTGCATTAACAAATTATAAGCCAAAATCACGTTTTTCCCCTTTTCTGCAGACGATGTACATGTACTACGCAGCCCGTGCCGCAGGCATATACATCCCCAGGAAGGTTGCCATGGCGATAACGTCATCGCAGACCCTACAGATGGTGATTGGCTGCATCATCAACTACGTCAGCTACAGGCTGCTCTTTGTGGACAAAGTGCCCGGATGCAACGCCAGTCTGACTAACATCATTGTGTCTAGTGTTATGTACTTCAGCTACCTTCTACTCTTCCTGCACTTCTTTTATGGTGCCTACGTTGTCAAGAAATCTAAACAGAAGAAACAGCAGTAGCTATATACAGAAAGCAGTAGTTACTACGAAGTTATATGGAAAGCAGATATGTTATGCATCAGCTTATGTGGTCTTAATGTGTAGCCTCTACCAGTCTTTAAAGGCAGCTAGAAGTAGAAAATTGACCAAATTGACAGCTAGTTAACATGCCAAGGGAGTGGCAAACTGTAGTACTCATATAGCAGACTAACTCCCATGACTTGTACTAGTAGTCTATTTGGCCAATTTCTACTCTTTCCAGCTGCTTCTGAAGCCTGGGGCTACATTGTACTATAATTTGTACCTCAGAATGGTTTTCACATCAACGAAGTGCAGCAACTCCTAACTATACTACAATGTTGGTGTGCATATTGGGATGTCAGTGATTCAGTGTTTACTTGAAGAACATGACCACATATCATAACAGGTGTATTTGATGATTACTGAATTTAAAAAAATTGAGATATGATTCACTGCAATGAAAATGTAGACACCAATATGCCCACTAGTGATGCATTGCTGACATCATGTAAAGCTTCATGTGTAAATGCCTTATAGCCTGAATACTAGCTCTGACTGAGTCTGAGGGAAAAGAAGAGTACTGAGCTTATGAAAGCTTGGAGTAGGCTATAGTTTAGTGTCAAAATCTGTCCAATGGAAGCAAAAATCTGACTTCCACCATAGAAAATAGGTGACTGGTTGTGAAGTATGTACAAGAAGGTTCTGTATTCAAGGAGTGAATTTTCACATGCAAATTGTTTAATCACCTTCTTCAGGGCAACAATTACTAGTAATGACTGGTTTTGATTCGTACTACAGCTACATGTAGGTGCAATATTACAAATGTGGTCCCAATCTGGTTGTTGACTAAACAACCTCGTGAAATTATGAACTGTCAGGTTATTATAGCTCTCACATGGGAGATTTTATATAACTACTGTATCATTTTTTTTCCATAACATTGAATGTGTTTATATATCTATCATACCTCTGTTATAAAGGAGGGTGAGAGAGACATGTTTCTTTTTTCAACAGATACACTGTACTAAATAATTTAGTAAATTTATTTTGTCTAATTTAAACATCTCTCTTTTGACTTCATGCAGTCACCTTTGACTTGAAGTCACTTTATATATATTTTTCCCACCCTACCTGTTCAAATTTCCTTGTTCGCCTGAACAACTGACTAAAGTGAACATCATTTTATAACTCAAACAGTGGTGGTGTCTTGTTTTGAGTCCTTCTCTTTTCTCTAGAATAATTTGTAGAACTACTAAATTAGACTTTAGAGACTCATCTATTTAACTCGTTAAAGAAACCATTCCAATTCTATGCTTAGCATTTAACTCAAGGTAAGGATCAGTAATGTAACCGTAAACAAAAATCCATGTACCCAGAAAATGAACTAGCGCAGAAATAATTTGCAATAATATCAGCAACGCACAAGGTCTCAGACATTAGCCCCCCTCCCCCATCTTCCGAATTCCCCCACTAGTAATTTAGAAACATTACCAGGTTAAGTCCTTTCTCGCCTTATGGCCCCCGGGTTACTAATTTTTTTTTTGTTCAAAGTTCTTACCACCAGCAGAATGAGTCAGCAAACACAGAAAGACAGGAATAAACCTAGCTATTCCTACCATTTTGAAATTCCCCGCCTGCCGGTGATGAAGGTCAAAGGTCACAACATTTGCTAGCCTGGTTATCCAAATAAATACAAATGAATTTGCGGAACCTGTAACGTAAATATCATCATTTCTTGTTCCAGGTTTACCATTGATGAGTTGCACTAGATTCCTTATCACATCAGATAGCATACATTAGCCTGTTACAAATTAAACAGTGAATAATCATAATAAACATAATACAACAAGGAGGCCTCTTGAATATATTAAACATTACACATTATGAATCATCATCGAAAGTGGTATTTGATAAATACAGCATTATTTTCAATTATTGGTGTGTAGAATACACTATTTGAATTTTTTGCACTTTAAGCATGTAATTTTACACGTTAGAAATGTTTGCGTATAGTTTGGTAACTTATATCAAACACATAAACATCTACACTATGTCATACTGCACCTAACAGTGCCCAACTAGACCATCTGATGCATGAATAAAACTCCTTGCATAAATTAGATGGCTTGAATTACTATCATAGTGAATATGAGGCTAACTTAAAGCATAATGCTTCACGCTGAAAAGACTATTGGCGATAAAATAGTATTCAGCAATTCAATACACTTTCTTCGACTCTTTGCTACATAATTGATAAAATCGTTTTGCCTCGAGTATTATATTCAACAAAGGTATGATGCAGTTCTGCCTTCTATATAGACCATTTTTTAGACCACCTTGCATGGTTTTCCAAGGCAAAACGGATTATTTACAATCTTATTTACAATTTTGGACTGTGCCATCATTCACAGTCTCTTACTGCCAGGTGTTGGGTAGATGTGACTGCCATGGTGAATGGTAGCAATATCCAAGCAGATCATACGGTAGCAAGGCAGTATCCATTGGCCAGGTGTGTCCATTAGCCACGGAATACTCCTCTAGAAAATGAATACTGCCTTGCCACCGCATGATCTGTTTGGAGATAAGATGTTAGATGGTTAAATGAGTAAGTTACCAGGTGACTTGTATTCCGCTTTGTTCTCAACATAAGTTAACGACGTTATTTGTTTTGTGTTATTGTAACTCGTCTGTTTTATCGCTTGAATATGTATGTATGTATGTATGTATGTATTTTTTATGTATACAGGGACATCTGAAAAACAGGCCACAGACCTGAGTGCGATCCAGTGGTAAAATAAGATAAATGACATTTTGTATCTACAGTCACATAGACCAGCCTCATCAAGCCTCAAAAACACGCGGACACAATGCGGGACGTTTGATCAGAAAAGGCTTGTACTCTGAAGAGAAGCAGAGCTTGTTTTAAAAGGCAATTTCAAATTCTATTATCCACGTCATGTCCAGATGATAAGCAATTTTGTCCCTGTACGTGGGCAATTATAAAGACATGCTCTTAGGTTCCTTCCAGTACCGCAATCAGATACCGGTCTCATTTTCCTCTCCATCTTCAGCGCAGGCCGAACGCCTGTCTTCAGCCTGGTTGTCTTCAGCATCGACGAAGGTTTTCATGGGTATCTCAGTAGCAACGTCAGTGCCGCTTGCTGTAGCCGCAACTCCACCTGCGAGGGTCTGCAAGTTGCCTTCAGTGTCAGTTTCATCTGCCATTGCCTCAGTTTCCCCTGCGGTGGTAGGCTGGTTGCTGGCAGTTGCGTTCCGCCCCTTGTCCTGACGAGGCTTGCCCACACGATGGCGTGTCCTGTTCTCCTCTACATCGGCCATGACTGTCATCTCTATAGCCGAGCCGGTTCCACCTGCGGCTGTCGCCTCAGTTCTCCCGCCCATGGCCCGCCGGTTGCTGGTAGCGGTGGCTTGTCCATTGTCCTCGTCAGTTTCGATCAGACCCAGGCGCACCATGATCGCATACTTCCATTTCTCCAACACCTCCCCCGTCATTGTCAGAAACAGGGTCAGCAGCAGGCCTTGAGAAGAATTCAGCACAATAAAGATGTAGTCGAGAACTGTGATCTTGACGAAAGGGACAATGAATCCCAAAATCCAGGTGAACCCCGCCAGAAACGAGATACGTATGTAGACCCAGATCTTGCTGATCTCTGAGCGTGGCAAAGCAGTGCTGGCTATCTGAAAGGACTTCCGTATGGCCAGCAAAACAAGAGTAATGAAGACAAAATTGACCATAAGGGCACAGAGGACAGGAACTCCAAATGCCACCAGACTGGCTGTTGGATTGCCGATCCAACACTGCTCTCCATAACCCACCCTGACAGAACTGCCGAACTCTACAATCACTGTGACAAGGACTACAGGCACCGGCACCAGCCAAGTGTACAAGACGTACTTGTACAGTTCGGCTCTTTCTAAATCCTCACGAAATGTAAGGAACAGATCTACAGCTAGCACGTTCATGGATGTGAAGGCCGTCAGAATAAAGTAGTGTAGAAGTATTGCATAAACTGTACAGCCTGGACCGGGAGAGAGGAACACACGTCCAACAAACTGGGTTACGGCAACTGCCATGCATGTCATCATCTGCACCTTCAGCTTTTCCGGGACTTTTTTCCACTGGCCTGACCTGTAAGTGTGAACCACAAAACCAGACACGGCTATGTCAGACACTACCACAAGACCCAGGGTTAACCAGTGCTGGACAGGGTCCGAGGTTTGGAGCGTGTCGTTCGAAAAATACTCCAGTAGGCAGTCCCCACAGACTGACGCTTCTGTGTTCAGAATGGCCACCTGCTCAGCTGGGCATGTCACGTTAGAACTCAACAGGCGGACACTGCCATTGGGAAGGATTTCGAACTCTTCGGATGTGAAATTCAGAATGGGTCTGCTGCAGTTTTGCAGATGGAAAGTTTTGTTCGAAGAGCCGTGACTTAGGGACGAGAGAGATCGACAGGAGTCTACAAAGGGGTCGTATAAAGAGTCTGGGGGGCAATGCTGAGGGCTGTTTTGGGGACTCTCATCAGCGTTAAAGTTGAACAGATGAGTTAACGAGATAGGATAAAATCCTTGAAATCTGTCACCTATAGGGAAACAAAGTAAATTTGTGGCTACCACAAGAGAAAGTCCTTCACAAAGAGCACAGTGAACGTTTTTGTAGATCTTGACACCGTCAAAACTTACTCTCTCGTCGTAGGACCTGCAAGCAGTCACATTACAATTTACATGTGAAATATTGACGACAGGGAGAATGCATTGCCTCGGGATCACCGGCAAGTCAAAGGGACTGAACTCCACCTTTAGAGTTCCGGTACAATCTCCATTCCAGTGAGGATTTTTTTGTTTATAATCATCGTATACAATTTGTGCACTTCCAACGGGATTTGCATCGGAACCAGTGTACCCAGTGCACACAGCTTTGGCCTTCCATGTAATGAATTCTTCCGTTCTTACATTGTTACAAAGGGCACAGAATATGTTTCTATAGGAGATACTTGTTGAACTATCTTGCACGGGCATCCGGTAGACCAGGTCAGCTGGGTTGTAGGGATCTGCTTGTTTTAAACACTGATCTCTTGTGACGTCATCCGTCCAGTCGTCAGGGCAGTCAGCCACCAGCCAATAAGATCTTCCCTTGTCATATCCCGGCAGGCACTTCCAATTCTCATGGTGACGATCAGACGGTGTTCGAGCTGTTGTGTCAAAGTTGCACACCTCTCTGTATTATGAAGGCAAAGAATCATGGGGTCATTTCTGGGTAAATGTCGACAATTCTTTGTGCCTGATGTAGTCTTCACAAATTCTCTCTCTCTCTCTCTCTCTCTCTCTCTCTCTCAAAGCTCATATATCTACAAGTAGTATACCTCTCGAAATCTGCTGTCTTATGTGTATGGAATCCACGTACCCAATGTCTTTACAGCAGTCGCTGAAAAAGCTGCAGTCCTGGTCACACTGACACAAGAAAAATTCACTGTAACTCATCCCGCACTGTCCTTCACAGGATATACTCGAGCTTCTACACGATCTGGGAACATAGTCCCACGACGTGGGGTCTACATAGATGAGAAACAGGAAATAGTATATGAATTCTAGTTTTGATGGATAAAAAGACCCTAGTGTTTCTATCAAATCTAAAAACTTTTAAACTGATGTTTAACAATCTTCCGCCATAATGTCCATGGTACAGTAAACGTAGATAGATATTACTTGTTCTTGTTAAGTTCTTTGTCCGTCTACTGTCACTATCAAAGCTGTATAGTATATATGATGTTATTGCCATGACTTACCTTGCATTGGCGACCCTATAGATGACAGTTTAATAAGGATGATAACGGTTACCCATTTACAACTTATCAGTTGGATATAACAATAGACTTCTTCGAGCTTTCTTACCAGGACATTCCGTCACGTCGCAGTAGTCCCACGTCTCCGTCCCGTCCGTGATGTAGCACCAGGGCCGGGCCTTGTTGTCAGGGTTACGGCAGAAGTTTTCCTCCAGCCCCGCATCAGGATGAGCCTGCGGTGTGTGGGGATGGGTGTGGGGGGACTGGGAGTCCCATCTCTGACACAGCCGGTCTCCTGCCCTGTGGAATCAGATACAATGCTGTATCTTATCATGCTAAACAAGATATAGATATAATAATGAATATATTTCTCAATCTCGTGAAAATTGTTTTAGGTTAACGTTATAACCTAGGCTCAGCACATTTTCCTGCTTGCGGTGAAAACCGTACAAAGAGGGTCCTTTTAACATAACGCAGCTTGGGGTGCAATAGTCTGCACAACTACGTAGTATAGAAAAATGCCACAAAAGTTCAAGCGCTAGTCTTACCTATTTTTGCGCCCTGAGTAGCTCCTTCCCTTATCGCTAGTGAAGAAGCAGCTTGTTGGTAACTCTGAAATTGGAAACGGGACATGTATGTCGATGAAATTAGCATGCCCCTTCCCTCCACACAGACGCACACGCACACAGACGCACACGCACACGCACACACACACACGCGCACACACACACACACACACACACACACACACACACACACACACACACACACAGAGAAACACACACACAAACAACGCCGTGCAAGCAACACCGTGCAAACATAAAACACGCCAAAGCATACCCCACATAAGATAAGTTCCGTGACCTACCAGCTTCACAGATGAAACCGGTGTGTCCTGAACAGATCCCGTCGTTCCATTTATTTCTGTTGTGGTCGGGGATCCCAGTTCCAGGAAAGTACTCAGCACACTGTTCATTTCCACCTGCATTATTTGGCTCTCCTTTGCCCCAGTCGGTGTAACCTAACTCTCCCCCATCTACGTAAGTCCACATCCCATTCCTACGGTGCAGTCCGAACCGGAATTTATCGGTCGGCCTCACACTGTTTTTCAAAGCGACGAGGAAGTCATTGGTGATGTTGCTGCGAGGCATGGCTAAAGTGCCGCCGTCTGCTCGACACGAGGCCAAAGCCTCGTCGTAGGTAAATTCCAGTAACTCTGTACTGGTACGGTAACACCGATGAGTGTGTGCAAGGTACGAGTAGCCTTTAGGGCACCCTGCAGTAAAACAGAAATAATACAAACTTTACGGATTACTTCTGAAATATTTCTGACGTATCCACACATCCAAAGTTCCTGATGATCCTAGCTTGTCAAGAAATCAAAACCGAAAGTTACAAGCCGACAGGTGTTTGGTAGAATTCGGTTCCAAATGTTCGATATATGATTATTCGAACGCATTTCACGTACATCGCTTTAGAAAATTCGAATACCGAATTCGGATCGCGGAAGAATTGGTGCTGTTACGTTTTCTTTAGGTACACCAAATTTTGGCACATTTCATTTTGAAATGTGTGTTTTCTCGAGCATCGGGCAATCCGGAATATACCGTGTAGTAATCTCTATGATCTTACCGTCACATGCGGACACCCTGTCGCAGTACATCCACCTGATTGCTGGGTTGTTGGTGTAGCACCACGGCCTGTCCTTCCCGTCCGGGTTCCTACAGTAGTTCCGCTCCAGCCCTGCTGACGGGTAGGCCTCGGGAGTGTGGTTATGGGCGTGCGGGTACTGAGATGTCCAGTACTGACAGGAGTGTTGTTGGTTTACACGGCCCCTGTAGCTTGCCCCTTTGTCGTGTAGGTAGTAACAATCTGTGGACACAAACTTAACGTTGTACCATAGTGTCCAATTGCATTGTAACATAATGATATCGTGCTATGCACACTTTGATGGGGTTGTTAGTAATAACTGTGTGAAAAACTCACCACAGTTCTTCTCATCACTGTTGTCTCCACAGTCATCTCTGCCGTCACATCGAGCAAACGGGTGGAACAGTCCGCCATTGTCACAGGCAGAAAGGGCTGGGGGTCATATAATCAGTTATAAAATTGTCTATCCAACTGCAAGTTTTTGTGTGCCATTGGGGATTTTGATACACATTACACGCACTGATGGAAAAGTTGGACATACTAATGGTAGTAAATGCCAGTAAAGTCTGGTAATGGTTATTTTACAAAGAATACCGGACTTAACAATGGTAGTTAATTAAATCACCGGACTTGATTTTTTATTTACTATTATCATATAGCCGGGTGACGTTGACCAATCAGAAGGCTCCATTCCACATTCTTTATGTCGCCGTAATATCACAAATAGAGTCACAATCGGGTATTTATTCATCCCAATCCATACATTAAACAAAATTAATAATCACCCGCATATGACCTCAGGTGACCCAATAGAACACGGCTCTACTTCTAAAAAATCCAAAAATAACTTGAGTTGTGTTCCAATGACTCCCATAAGAACACCTGTTCCCTGCCTGTGACCCAGATAGAAGACATAGAACATGAACCCCCCAGTGACCTCAGGTGACTTCAGACGGAACAGATATTCTGTGTTCTATTCAGCATGTGCAAGGGGTACATTGTGTGACTCTTCACTGCATCAGTTTGGATAGGCTATCGTGTAAGCTATATGATAATAGCGTTAATGGCCCGCCCTTTCTCGGTGAATATGGTGTGATAAAGCCTTGTCAGCTGCTATAACCACCTCATAAAGCCACCTCATAAAGCCACCGCAGTACATCCACCTGATTGCTGGGTTGTTGGTGTAGCACCACGGCCTGTCCTTCCCGTCCGGGTTCCTACAGTAGTTCCGCTCCAGCCCTGCTGACGGGTAGGCCTCGGGAGTGTGGTTATGGGCGTGCGGGTACTGAGATGTCCAGTACTGACAGGAGTGTTGTTGGTTTACACGGCCCCTGTAGCTTGCCCCTTTGTCGTGTAGGTAGTAACAATCTGTGGACACAAACTTAACGTTGTACCATAGTGTCCAATTGCACTGCGCTCACTTGGTGGCTTTATTCTGTGGTTATAGCAACTGACAAGGCTTTATCACACCATATTCACCTCGGGGCGGGACATTAACCCTTAATTATTGTCCGGCTTTACTGGTGTTTAATACCATTGTTAAATCCAACATTTGCAGTGGTGGCAACTCAGGTACTAGACACATAAAGTTAGGCAAAGCTGTAGAAAATACCTTATACACAAGCGGAAATATACTCACGACATAATAGTTCGTCACTACCATCCGCACAGTCCCTTACGCCGTCACAAACAGGGTCATCCGAGTGCCGATGATTTGGAGCAAAGCACTCTCCATTGCTGCAGGTTTTCAAGCCGTTTTTCTCACCTGTGAACATTGAGACATCACGTTTCAACATACAACTACAAGATGCCACTGAGCCGTATTGAGAGACACAGTTGTAACTGTTGCAATAAAAGACACGTGACTAGTTACGTTCACGGTCACAAAACTCAGACGGAAGAATGCATTGTCCACTGGTGCAGTTTATCATACATTGTTTCTCACCTGCGTTGGACATTGAGAAATTGTTGCTACATCGCGTTTTTACATTTTCCACCTTAACGTGAAGGAGACAGGCCGATGTAAGCTTTATACAAACAGTATTTAATTAAAGTCATCATATTTTGAAAATGCCTGTTAAATGTATTTGTTTTAAGTTATGCATGGCACAAAATAACGAATAGTATTTACATTATTGTATGGTTATAGTGGTACCCAGGGCACCACAGTTCCGGTTTAAAAAGAATTGAATGGTAATTGAATGGTGGCAAGGTGAATCTAAAGGTTTTGGGTTCGAATCCCTAGCAAGTTATTGAAACATCATGATAAAACGTTGCCTTCCGCGTTTCTACTTACAGCAGTGTTGTTCGTCCGTATTGTCCCCACAGTCGTTTCTACCGTCACATACTTGGGCCTTGTCAATGGTGGTTCCGTTGGTACAAATCCCTTAGGTTTGATTGAGGTAAAGAAAATGTTTTTTTTTTTCGAAACATTCTTTATTCATCCTGTAGTACATTTTGATTTGTCTTTGAATATTTTTTACCTGGATGTTGAACCCTCATCAACGTTTCTAAATCTAGCACTTTGATGATGATGATGTTATTCGTCCATCGTTGTCATAAATCTAGTTTACGATAAAGTTAACAGTCACTAATCGTCACGTTAAAAATTATATACAATTATAACGTTAAAAAAGATATATATTCTGTACATGTGTTCTTGTTACGTACCTGTGTTCCTGTAGTCTACACAGACCAGACAGTCACAGTGGGCCGCAGTGTTGCCGCACCGGTTTTCCGAGGAGCAGCATGGGAAGTCACTGCCAGGGTCGCATTCAGGACTGTCGCCTTGTCCGCAATGCAAATCTTCACGCCACTTCATAGGAGCTATTAGGTCATTGAGACATTAAACAATTCGCTTTGTCAGTCACCAGTCATGCGTACACAGAAATATTTGTAGTCTAGGTACTCATTGCCCAAACACCAGATCCTATCTCCCACTCAACAATCAAGACCATAGCATGTACTAAACAAAGCCGCTAGATTACTTATAGTTGACCTTGACCTTTGTTGTCCCATCCTTAACCTACCTACCAAATATCATAAAGATACATCCAGCACATCCTAAGTTATAACCGTTTAAGAAGTCGTCATACATTTTGTATATATGGGGTACCTAACACACAAAACCGGCGCAATGGTCAAGTAGGTAGATACTCGCCTTGCAGTCGCTTAGGTTGTAAGTTCGATCTCCGGCTATAACGTGACCATAGACTTAGAAATGGTACTGCTTTCTCTGCTTAGCACTCAGCATTTGGGAATCTGTATGAGAATTAAACCCCCACTACCAGTGAACTAGCCATGTAGTGATTGCACTACTGTTTGGCCCAAGCAAGGGCCACTGACCGGAGATGGGCGCCGCCCTTTGCACCACCTGGTGTGGAAAGGACTTGAACTTTTTTTACCTTAACACACTTAACCTCGTCGAAGGTGATAAATAGCTTGAACGCCTCACCACAGACTGGCACTTCGCACCGCTCCCATCGCACTAACGGATTCGTGGTGAAGCACCAAACTCCGGGTTCACCATCCGGATTCCGGCAGTAGTTCTCCTCCAGTCCGGATGATGGGTAGTTATGCGGTGTCCTGTCGTGTACATGTGGAAACAGCCTGTCCCAGCGTTGACACGTCTTTCCTGTCCTGGTCACAGAGACGGTTCCTCGGTAGGATGCCCCATTCCCAATCTGGCAAGGTTCTGGGAGATGAAAATGCAACTGAATTGTACTTTCATACAGAAATATTGGACAAACACCTGTTTGTACTAAATGAGCAATTCACAAACTGAATGTAACTCCTATATAAAATGACCTACCAAATTCACAGATGAATCCAGCGTCTATCTTACAGCTCACGTCGTTCCACTTATTTCTGTTGTTGAAGGAGAGGTCGCCCGAGTTGTCGGGGAAGTACACCGCACATCGCTCCTTTCCTCCGCTCGGTTGTCCATCGGCCCAGTTTTCCCATTCCATCGGCTGAGAACCGCGTGAGAAATTCCACGTTCCGCCTGTAGAACGGGTCATCCCGAAGTAGAAAACCTTCGTCGTGGCCGCGGCGTTCTTTAAAGCGACCAGGAAGTCGTTGGTGGCGCTGTCACCAGGCATGGCCAGAGTGCTTCCTTCCTCTTGGCAGGTCGCCAAAGCCTGGTCGTACTCACTCTCGGTGTCGTAGGCACGGTAACAGCGGTGTGTGTGTGGGAGGTGCCAGTAGCCATTGGAACACTCTCCAACTGTGGTTAAAATGTAAGGGTAAGAACTTACTCGGGGGGGGGGGGAGTCAAAATACTTACTTTGCCTTGTAATGATTATACACCTCTATTGCACAATTTAGTCACACTAGGGTAAACTCATGTTCAAATTTGAGAAATACAAGGCACATACCACTTATACATTATTTTATCATCTTGACACAACAATAACCAAGTTCAGTACCTGTAATAACCTGGACTTCGCACAGTGTCAGGATTCGGGAGGGACCAGTCAGACGAACCCCCACATACCGTCCTGCCATCCACCGACACGGGATGGAAACGGACGGCTTCGTCACGTCGATTTGATGATCACCTCCACACCTGGGGTTCTCGCTGACCTGGTCGGAATCCCCGATGTGGATGTTGAAGGGGTTGAGTCGTTCCGAACAACAGTCCATGCGGTTGAAGATGACCACTCTGTAATTGATTGCAATTAAGTATAATACACTTCAAGAGGGAAATCTGTCCTTGACTCGCTGGCCTAAAAAAACTTTGATTCGAAATGAAAGTGCTGTTGCCCACATAGGTCAACATCACCATTCTGTTGAAAACAGATGAATGGTTTGTCATTGCCTTCGTTTATTCCTGTACTGTATATAATTTTTTATCTAATTCATATTGCGGCTTTAATTGTGGCTTTAATTTAGGGCCTGCAATACATTTTACATTGCATATTCCTTTAAAAAGGCCAAATGCATCCTCCACCTATATCTACAGTTGTGGTTGTTTTCTAATTCATGAATTTGAACATCTGTATAGCCGGTATAACCGCCCTTCAGCGTAACGCACCAGTCTCGCAGGCACGTGGCGCGGCAGCAGCTGGCTATATTACACCGAACACTCGTTACACTCAATCTTTGCACATTTAATTGCAGGAGTTGTGATTGCATAATAGATGAGAACATTAACGTTGCCTTTTGCTAATTAAATACCCTCATCTCGTGTCTATACGTACCTGTCAATCACATACGATCGGCCGAGGTCCACCCACCAGCTAGGACCAGTCTCCTCCTGTGTGTGTGTACAGGTGGCAGTGCCGTAGTTCATGTAGGTATTGGTGGTCCCGTCTACAGCTAGGCTGGCAACCCCGGGTCCGTGCGTCCCGTTAAGGGTGCTTGTCTGGAACGCCGTCTTTCCCAGAGCCACATTCAAATCTATTCCGGACGAAAGATATTGTCAATACACGTATCTCCATCGAAGAGTTTTATGGTTAAACGCATCCGACGCAATTTCAGGGCAGCAAAACTGGAATATTCTAAATAAGGCAATCTGCATGATATTGACACATACTGTCCTACATTTGCATCAGTTTTTCATAATTTAGACATTTAAAACAGGGCAGAAAAAAGCTCTGAGACGAGTCTTATTTTTTTCTAGATGTTACCAAGGTTTCTACCAGTAACCGTTTTTCGTCACAATTTCGTCATTTTTGCTCAATGAATGTCAATATTGGGCTAGTTCTGTCTCAGCGTAGTATATAGATGAATGGCTAAATATTGGCTTTCTAAAATCTTGGTTTCAAGCCTTAAAAACTGCATTGGGCACCTTTAGCAAACTTAATATGTAGATAAATAAATGACTAGAAGGTTATTGGATTTGAACAATCTTCTTTGCAAGCCCAAAAAATGGATTGGGCACCTTTAACAAAGTCCTGTACGCAGGGCCATGAGCTGTTCACCACATAGGTATTTTGTAGTCCTTCTGCTGCCTTACTCGGGGCAATATTGTCTGATTCTACTTCCCACCACAAGGTGTCGCTTGTATGTAAACACCTCACGGTTGTGTGTAAAGGACGATCGAATTACCAGCCTGATCAACCGAATTCACGGATCACTGAATGCTCTACTGAACTAAATATTCTATAGCTGGCCTGGGCCGTCTCCTTTTTCTAATGTCTGCTGCGTAAATTCGGGAAGTGAACAGCCTCCGTATCTCACGGCACCCCTCTTGGGTAAATCATTTTTGTCAGTGTTTGCCGGTGAAAGCCGAGCGAGAAACAACAATGTATGTTGGAATGAGAGTACATAGATAATTCATCGATGTCGCAGCACCAATACATACTTACATCGCGTGTTCTCGTTGAACTATAGGACCACATCGCCCTGTTTTTCTCAGACCCTTGCAGACTAATTAGCTGACGTCACAGTTGGGTTGGGCAGCACTAGGCCCAAAATGATCTAAAATGGGAGCACCATTGAAGTACCAACTAACAGGTCTCAAGCTGTTTCTTTCCTTACAAATTTTGACCCAAGAAGAAACCGGCAGGGTTCAAGCTTTACCAGTTTAGCGAAAATTGTCAAGTACACCGTTTTTTTTCACAAGGACAGACCTAAGTGGTATGCTCTGGTTCTCAGTGCGGATTGATATAAGCAGTACTGGAGTAAAATTTAGGCTTTGTTTAGAGCTTCCGTTGTTCAATTCAAAAGTGGACAAGCCCTTTTTTCTTTAGTTATCAACTAGAAAGGGCTGGCTGGCATGAAGCAATGTACATACGACGTCTAAATTGTCATATAAACATTCCTTGTAATCCATGTCCCAGATCGAATCCGGTTTGCCAAATATGAACCTTGCAAACTATCATCGCAAAAAATACTTTGTTTCGAGTATACATGGTTTACAGTTTTTCAATTTCTACAAAACACAAGCGTAGACTGAGTGTAGATATTACCATATTGTCTGTTAATGCTTATGAAGTTAATGGTCATGGATGACTAGCTAGGTACCCACCTGTTGTCGCAAAAGCACCAGACAGGCAGCAGCACAGGCCCAACAGCAGCGCCAGTGATGGTCCGGTGATCGACAGGTTTCTCATTCTACCGTGAGACGACTAACTCGTGTTGTACCAGTTCTTTTTAGTAAATTACTGTTGAAAAGTTCTGGTGCACGATCTTGACGTACCATGTACGGACAGATTCTACCAGCAACTAGTATTAAAAAGTGGTGCGTGTGGTATTTCACTTGTAGCACGAACTCCTACGTCACAGGTAACCATGGTAACCACTACCAAATAAGATACCACACCAGGTACAAGTTGTGTGAGTGTGAGTCATCGAATATTCATTTCATTGGTATCATCCACCTGGTATTTCATGACGTACTGTTTTCTGAATTATTCAGTGACGGGCTCTGTACCGGTCTGTACCTATCTCTACCAAACAGTAGAGGTGTTTTTGTGTTTCGAATAAGTTATCAAAAGGCAAACATTGGTCGCGGCGACCAACGTCGCTATGTATTGCCGCAAATTCACAATACCAGCTTTGTATTCCTGTGGTTTTGCCAAATATTAACCTTGCAAACTATCATCGCAAAAAATACTTTTTTCCAGTATACATGGTTTACAGTTTTTCAAGGTCTACTACACACGCGTAGACTGAGTGTTTGCGATGATAGTTTGCAAGGTTGATATTTGGCAAAACGAATCCCTGTGGTTTAGCTGCATTTTTATTCGCCCGCGCGCACTAGTTTGGGGGTCTTCAGAGGATGTCATACATAAAATTAAGACGGTGTGGCCTTACTATCTGGGTTTTCAAATACACATAAGGGTGACCTTTGACACGACATTGCGCGGGAAATTC